AACTATTCTATTAACTAAGTTAATGGCTAGTTAATAAGAGTTAATTCGAGATTGGGCCCATTAATAAAATAAATTGTTTAGATTTCATAAAATCATCTGAATTTCTCAAAATGTTCTTTCATACCTGGAAATACACACACACACACACACACACGCACTTCTAATCAAAGGTAAGAACTTATTAAGGATTCTTTGGGAACTATAAATTGAAACATCTATTGGTTGTTCTTCCCTACTGGTCATATTAACTGATATTACATATTAACTACAACATAGAGAAAGTGATTTAAAGTGGTGTTATAATTATATATATGAGAAAATGTTTTTCATGTATACAGACAAATAGAATATTTCAACTAAAGAAAGTTGAAAACAGTGGTATAAATATGTCTAATATTTATATGTCTAAGTGATTAAGAATTTCCAAGAAAAACATGATACAAAATTCTTATAATAGATTTTGAATATTTTTTGATTACTTTTCCCACATGCCTTCACATGAATTTCATCTATTTTAGTATTTTAATCATGATGCTTATCGTGATGGAATCATAACTGTTAAACATTTGTGTATATATTTATGCATATTTAATTTCTCCCTTTTCTTGGGAGTTAAAAAGGGAAAATCCTTTACTAGGTTTAATTAGCAACATCCTCATTTTTTCTAGTGGGTTTTTCTTTTTGATATTTCTTTTCCTGTTTTTGAGGTCCTAAATTTGTTTTTGAATATGATGAAAATATGAGTGATTATACTAATGGAAAATATTAGTATCTTTTATACAAATGCTTGTTACAAAAGATTATGGATGTTAAAATTTCATTAAATACTGGATTTCATCTTTTAAAGCATGAATTCAATGAAGAAAAATGATTATACTTTGTCTTGTCCACACTATTATGAGTAATTTTGATACAGTGTCTCTGTATTCCAAGCATGAATATTAAAAATAACCACAGCCCTTCTCAGTTTAAATGGTATGCTTCTCTACATTCTGAATTAATAAGAGGGCAACCCACGGTGCCCATGAAACCGCAATTAAAAGGAAAATGAATTCACTACAAGGTAGCGATGGGTCAGCTTGATTCCCTTGAAATTCTGAAATTTTTTATACAAATCTTGTCATTTGTAACAACTGGATGGAACTAAAGAGTATTATGCTAAGCAAAATGAGTCAATCAGAGAAAGAAAATTATCATATGATTTCACTCATATGTAGAATTTAAGAAACAAAACAGAGGGGCATAAGGGAAGAGAGGGAAATATAAAACAAGAGGAAATCAGAGAGGGAGACAAACCATACGAGATTCTTAATCATAGGAAACAAACAGGGTTGCTGGAGGGGAGGGGAGAGGGGGGGCAATGGAGTAACTGGGTGATGGACATTAAGAAGGGCATGAGATGAATGAGCACTGGGTATTATATGCAACTGAAAAATCACCGAACTCTACCTCTGAAACTAATAATACACTATTAATTAATTGAATTTAAATTTTTTCAAAATAGTAAATAAATGCACTACAGGGTAGCAATGGGTCAACTTGATTCCCTTGAAATTCTGAATCTTTTTATATGAAAAAAAAATCTGCAAATTCCTTCAAAAATATGCAAATGCATGTAAGAATGTCAGAAAAAACTAACAACAGGGACAACCTATACAGTTTGGTGTTTGGTAAATTTATTATTAACAAATCTATTAATATGGTCTCAGATTTCAAGTTAAATAATAAATCGTTCCCTGTTTCACAGTTATTGTCTGAGACATCAAGAATGGAGCATTTGAAAACAGTCTTAATAGATGTTGAAGAACCATGACTTTGCAGAAGGTGACTTGACTTAGTTCCCTTGCCCTCCCATTGAAATGATGACAGGTCATGCCAAAGTATGGTAGTGACAGAATCCACAGAGCTTTGGTGCTCCTCTAGTATCTATGATACCATGGTAGAATTCAGTTCCCTTAGCCAGGAATATAGAAAGAACCAATCGTAATTAAATACTGATTACATCATATATATACATATGTATATATATGTACAGATATATGTATATGTATACACACATATATCTATCAAAGAAAAATAAAAATGAAATAATGGAATCTGTGTTCTTTTTAAATAAACTATGAAATATTTAAGAAAAAAAATTGGAAACGTCACTCAAGGGGATCACTTATCCAAACCTGAGATAAATTCGAGAGAGATCCCTGAAGATTGCTAAACAGTAACACTGGCATTTTAAAAATCACTGACGTTTAAAATCATTACTAAATAGTTATACTTATTCCATTTTTGTATTAAAAAATAGCAACATGAATAGGAAGAAAAAAACAAAACAGCTACTATCTTAAGCACACTCATGATCTTATAGTTCGTTAGAACAATTCTCAGTGCTATATTAATTCATGTGTTCCATTTAACCTTTGCTCTTAAGTTTTTAGAAGAAGGTGCACTTTATCTTTCAACTAAATTCTGTGGGTGTGATATGAGTGTTATTAACACCATCCCCATGGTATGGCACATAGTGGGAGGTATAAAAATATTTGTTGGATAAATATTAGCTGAATCAGAGTAGCAGCTATACAATAATGAGACTATATCTCTGTATATGCACATGTTCTTATCTACATTTTGTACATACTGTGACCCTTTACGTCAATGTACAACTGCCTAAAAGAGGCGTCATATTATGGGCCAAAGAGACCTCTGTTAGTATATTAAAAATGTATTTCCTGAAAAATTGGTCTCATTTTAATAAATTCATGTCACTTCTATTTTGCATCTTTAAAATGGTTTATGGAAGGGAGAATGATTATAAACACTCACGTTCTATAATTTTAAATCATTTTAAATGAAGCATCCATACACTCTCCTGCAAGACCAAAAGCTCCCTTTGATTTATCTAAACTTCAAAAGATTAAGAAGTGCATAAAAAAATACAACAAAGTGGAGAAATAATAGAAAATCCTGATCTATGTTCTCAGAAAATCTGAACTGTCGGGATGTTATTAAGCTCGGATAAGATTTTGGCCATTAAAACTAAAGACAAGGGTGACAATAAGAATAACTTTCCTGGCCCATCTACCATAAATGTCAAAACAAAACAAAACAAAACAAAAAATCCCAAACAAACAAAATACTGGTGCCATCAATGTAGGTGCAGCCCTTTGTCAAAGGTAAAGATGAGTCTTTTCTGTTGTCACACAGAAACTGCTATTTACAACTATTTTTTACATATGTACATATTTATAAATTTATAACTTATGGTCAGACATGAAGGGGGAAATGCATAACTTAACAACAACATTTTTAAAGTGCCTAATAATGTATACCATAAAAAGCATTTTTATTGCTTGGCCTCAAACACGGTGCACTCTCTTTGACTCTCGCACAATTTCCTAAACTCTACCAAAGATCTAGGTTATATTTAAATGTGTAAGAAATAGGATCTCATATGTTAAAACTATTTAGATGACAAAGAAGCTGTAATTGGAAGGGAATTAAAGAAATACATTTATTAGCTCATGTAACAATTTTATTTTATTAAGGATTACGGATTACCTTTTGTGAGGGAATTTATAATGTCAAAGCTGTCTCCACGGCAAATTCTGTTAATAAGATGCATTTGTGACCTTGGTATTAATACAGTCATGCAAAGCACATAATAGAATCACACTAAAACAAAGAAAATGAAAAAAAAAAACTTAAACGAGGCAAAGGAATAACAAGTTTTGCTGTGATTTTGCTTATTTCCATAAGATACTCCTTTTATTTGATTTTATGAACATACTTACTTATGCACTATACTGAAATACTGTACAAAACTGCAAGAAATGCCACTATTTGACTACTTATGTTTCTACAAAAACACCATCATAAAGGTGTATCTATTATTAAAAGTCAACTAATAACTGCTAATGTAGATGTGAGTCAAAAGGTTTTCAGGTTTTCCAAAAATGTTAAATCTAGGCATGAGACACAATTGTTAACTTCTATTAACACATTTCAGGGGCATAGAGAGTATATTTTAAAATATTAAAAGAAAAATGAATTTTATCCATTAATAATTAGTAATTATATAAAATTGAAAACTACGGTTTCTAATTTAGTTATTTGCGTGTGTTCTAATTTAGTTAATCAGTGTGTGTGTGCGCACACGTGCGCAAGCGTGCGCATGCACGCGCACATGCTCATTTACGTGTGTGCGTGTGAACTAATCCACGATCTGTTGGTGATGCTTTAAAGTCTCTGTTTAAAAATGTTCAACTCTTACCAAAACCTCTTCTGGTATACAAAGCTGTTGTAAATTTGAGTCAGTGAAATTTAAAGTTGCAATTTACAAAAGCAGATTTACATTAATTCTGATCTGAAAGCGCTGCTTCAAGACAGAAAAATGTGCCAATTAACTGCCCTTTCCTTTGTAATTAGTGGCTTCTGAGTCCTGGTGACGAGAAGCCTTAAGGCAGAATTTGCAGTAAACAGGAAAGAAGAGAATCGTGTAAGTGCTCATCTAAGCGCTGGGACACCTATGAATTCTCATTGGCGGGAGTTTTTGGCACAATTTTCTAATCGACATGAATGTTGCTTTACTGCGGCCAAGTGGGATGCTTTTTCCGGTCGCCAGCACCAAGAAAATTTAGCTGATCAATTTCAATACAACACATACCTGGAAAGAGTAAGACACATTTGTCTTTTTTTTTTTTTAATTTAAGGTAGTTTCCAATGATTAAAATAATCTGTAGGATTTCAATTATTACTCTCAAGTAAACTCTGAGGATAAAATGTAATGACTGTGACATTCTGATATTACTAAAGTCTAGGCATAATTAACGTCCTGTCAGGAGTGACTCATAATTATTTGAGCTTGTCATGCGGTAATAGGTTGCTATAGATGCTATACAGAGTAATTAAAAGCTGATTTCAGATCTCTAGTTTTTTCTTCTGATTCCAATTACACTAGCAGGGTTTCTGAGCACTCACGAAGGGAACAGATGTGGCAGATATGAGGTTCTGTGATTTAGAAGAATTCATCTTGGAATGACAGTGTTATCTTATGTTAAAGTTAGGCTACAGTAGAAAATAGTCCTAATATTTAAGATCTAAATCAAAAGAGTTCATCAAGTGTGGTATAGGAGCCCCATTTTCATCACTAGTAGGGAATAAACCAGGCCATGAGAAAGCCACTTTAAACGAGTTCCTAGGGTAAATCTTTAAAAAAGGCAATGGCTCTTTGGGTATGGGGTGCTTTCTGCCTGCAATTCCACAAGTTAGCAAATGCGTGTCTCCGTTAGAGGTCTACTGGTAAGCTATATAGCTATATACATACTGTACATATTGGTTCACAAATTAGCAGTTATTAGTCAGACTGTACATAGCAAAACAAAGTTCTATGTTGCTATACATCCCAAAGATAACCTGTGTCCAGATTCAAGGACTGACCCCTAATACAGGTTCTCTGTTTAAATACGTAGCCCAGTAAACTAAATTAAATGTACCAAACAAAACTGGGAAAACTATTCTAGACATTCTGTCAATTTTGCTAACGCTGTTGAAGGTTTTCTTGGCTTCCGCTGGCTTGTTCTCCGGCTTCTTATTGGGTTCTGGCGTGGTTGCACTCTTGGAGATGGTGGAGAGAACTGGGTCTTTTGAAAGATTCGGGGCATAATTGGCAACAGCCACTGCATAAGCATTGTTCTGTATCATGACAGAGGCTTTTTCTTTTTTCTATTGAAAAATACAAGAATTAACACAACGTGGGTTGAGCCTGCCATTTAACATTTTCCAAACTCCAGTTCAAATTCTGAAGAAAAGTATTTTGATAAACATCATTATCCATTAGAAAGATGAAATTTAGGAAAATAAATAAAAGGCGTCCTGAAACCATGAGGAAAGCTCAGAGTAAAATCAGTGATACCGTCTTCCCGGAGAACCATATTTTGTTGTTGTTTACATGGAAAACAAACAATCAAAACCACACATTTAATAAATGATATGACATTTTGACTCTTGTAAGTTATTCAGATATTTGTTAAATGGATGAGAGAATGAATAAATGAAATGTAGAAATATTTTAACCAGAGGAATGATCATCTACAATGACCACATTTTCTGAATAAAGAAATTTAACTTCTTTAACTAGATAACAGGGTTTCTCATTTTCATGTTGAACGTTTTACTAATATGATGAGAAGCTAACCATATACAGTTGGCAGTGAAATAAATACTAAAAATCTGGGACAAAGATAAAATACAAACTTTGTTTTTTGCCTAGCTCATCCACAACCTGCTTCCCTTCATAATCCCCATCTACTTGAATATGACTCACAGTTATCTCCTGCCTGGACCAAACAACATGCTTTGCACTCTCCCAGCTTCCACTTGACCTTGTCCAATCATAGACACACTCTAGCCACAGGGATTTTTTTTTTTTTTAAGACATCAATGGGATCATGTCACTCCTCAGCTTAAATCTCTTGAATACTATCTCAAGGAACTTAGAATAAAATCAGTAGTTCTTACCATGGCTTCTTTACTTCATTAATTATACACTAGTCTCATGAAATAACTTCAGTTTTCAAGAACACTTCCTTGTTTGATGCCTATGGCCATGCTGCTTCCTAGACTGGAAGGCTCTCCCTCCATCATGCTTTTCATGTGTTACGTTAGTCACCATTGAGGGTGTCATTTGTGAAAAACTTCACTACTGGATAGGAGGTAAGTTCTATGCCAATTCCTATGTTACAAATTCCAAAATAGAGGCTAAAGAGGTTTCCTGACATAACCATGTCTCCTGTCTATTAAGTGGCTGAATGATCACACAAACTCAAGTGCGTGTGACTTCTAAAGTTCTACTTTAAGCATCTTACTGTGTGACTTTCTCTTTGAGGAAGCTATTTGAAACCTGGGAGTATGCTTTTTCCTAAACTTTTCCAATTGAAGTTTGTATCACCAGGTCAATCTTCTAAAAAGACTCTTTAAACCATCAAGTATGTAACATATAGTGTTTATGTTATCATTATATCAATTCTACCTAAATATCATTTAAAATAATATGAAACTGCCCTTAGAAGTCGGACTTCGGGGATGTTCCTTCACCTCTCCCTGCTTCACCTTCTAGTTCGAAAAAAAAAAAACAGGGGATAATTATACCAAAGCCATAATGAACTGTTGTGAGAATTAAATGAATAAACGAATATTCAAACCACATACAAAAGCACAGCCTCTTAGTGGAGAGTAGTAACAGTTATAACTCTATTACAAGCTAAACAAGATTATTGGCTTATAAAATGTATAGACAATATACATAAACATTGCAAGCAGGACCTCAAAAAAGGTGTCTTGGAAGAGGGACATTTAAGTTAGGTCAGGATTTATGGTGCAAGGCTTAGACATTTTGACAAAGAAACATAAATGCAAACGTCCTTTGTTGCAAGAGGAGCCTATGGTTAGAAACTCTGTACTGACTCTTACCAACCCCCTTCCTGCCCAACGCAAATAAACTTCAATCGTATATAAACCCACAGTTGATGCTAAAATTATTTAGCAAACTCTGAAGCAGACACACTAACAAAGCAGAACAGTTCCTCTAACTAATCGGGATGAATATCTGCTGTAAATACCCAGAGGGCTGTACCAGGATGTACCGGCAAATATCACCCCTGCATGTTTGTATGCTGGTGTGTGTGTGTGTGTGTGTGTGTGTGTGTGTGTGCTTAACCCCAATACTGAAGATACTATAATAAGCAGTGTTAAAAATAATTTTAACGTATGTGTGTAACTTTTATTGACTTAACTACAGAGAACAAAATTTCATCATATTTCTTTTTTATCGCTCAAAGTATGGCTTCAATCTCTTAATGTAAGTATAAAGTTGAGAGACAAGCTCAGTACCTGACAAGATGATGGTTTGACTTCACAATGCTCTCTTGGAACTTGGAAACTTGATTATTTTCAGAACCAACAGCAAGCAAAAGTGCAACAGTCATGAGTACTATCTTTAGTCAAAATCCAGTGGTGGACACCTGTAATTTCTAACCAGTGAATTAAATGAAGCCCAGGACACCCTCACGGTCTAAACTTTCATAATTCCTAGCCACAGCCCAGTAAAGTCTTTCTGGCTCAAATCTTACAAAGTCTTGTTTTAAAGGATAAAATCACTCCCTTCAGTCCATTTGAAAGTAATTGTCAGAAATCTGCAGTAAAACAAATTGTTCTTATCTATTTAAGATTATTAATATCATGTATATAGAGAAAAAATGCTATTGAATTCATAGATGACTTACAGTTCTTAGATCTGCTAAACCAGAGTACACAGATTAAGTCCACATAATATATTCTATTACTGTTCTTTCTAAGACAGAGGTCTGCTGGTGATAGTATTAAAACATATTTGTACTCTAGGCCATTACTAGAAGATACTATCTCACCCTATTCATTATTAACTTCTATTAAAAAGAACCAAACTGATATATTATGTTATAAATCCTCTTTGAGTGTCATACAAGCCTCTGATCAAGGCAGACCGTCAGCAGGTTGAGTCATTGGGACAATGATTTTGCCCCTTTGAGACTAATTTTACTTTATTCAATGTGACCCTTGGCCTACACTCAGACCGTCAGAGCCTTGCAGAGAAATAATGCAATGAAGACTATCATTGTGTTAACTGTTCAAACCAGTACTAACTGCCACAAGGTAATTTTTTTAAGGTTCATGTCCGTATATAAAGTTTTTTTTTTTTTCTTTCGAGAATTAGGCAGGTTCCAATAGTTCACACTACCTAATTTCTCATAGTCTAATTTGGTTATTCTGTATTTCTGCTTTAAGTCTCTTAGGTAGGCCACTTCATATAAGAATAAGGCCATGTATGCCTGAAAATATAAGTAAAGAAATCAATGTTAAATGTGAAGAATGAAACCAAACAGAAGGAGAATGGGGGAAATGAAGGCAAGTGGACACTGCAAATTTCTATTAATTTTAAGTAACTGCTAAGGCTTTTGTAACCAATACATGGATGATTGACATAATATCTCTCACCAGAATTCTTACCTGTTATATTTCACTAGGTTCTCTATCACATATTCCATGGGTAATTAAAACATAAAATATCCAGAAATGAACTGGGGTTACTTTTACTCCCAACCTAATTCTGTATACCTCCCTATATCCCCTAACTTGTGAATGATACCACAGTTGAGCCAGGAAATGATAATCAATACACACTGACCCTTTAGACAGATCCATTTTATACCGACTCAGCTCAAAATCGCTTCTTATTGCAATAAGTACGCCTTCCATGTGTTTTTCATAGCACACTAGTGTTTGTCTCAATAATGGAGCGTATACTTTTCTCATTTATTTTTTTCTTCTATTTAATCGTGAGCTCCTTGAAAGCACAGACAGTGCAACGCAGAGCTCCTAGCATAGTTCCTAGCACAGAAAAGGCTTAAAAAATGTTTACAGGGAATGACATGCACAAGAATGATTAGTGTGACCAAAAACACATATTTAGAAAATATATAACATATAAAATATAAAGTATTTTATAGTGTAGGCATTTATTAAATTCATAAAAACTGGATTCCCATAGTATGTCTTATAATTCTGCTATGTAATTATCTTGAAAGTCCTCAATTTTACTATTCCACATGTCTGTGGAAGTTGTTTTACTATAATTGAGACTCATATAACTGGAAAGGGGGAAAATACGGCTAAACACAAAATCGGTAACATATATTTTTAAACATTACTGGGGGAAAAGAGTAAAATACGCCACTATAGAATATGTTGATGATGTTATTGAAGTGGAATGAAAATGAAATATAGTGCATACTACTTAAATTTTCTATTTTTTAAACAATGTTTTATAGGGTTCAGAATATTCTGAGTTTATTACTTTGTTAGAATGTCTGAATATGTATTTATGATTTCAAGTGTGGAAAATTCCTGATTATAGAAATCAAAATGTCTTGATTTTTGCCCCATGGGGCAAACCAATCTCAGCTTCCTTAGAGTATTAGATAAAGTAATATGTTAATAACTTGAGCAAATGTTCTATCTAAAATATAGCCATCTATTAGCAAAGTGACCTGGGATACAAATAAAAATAATAATCACATGGTTTCAGAATTGGAAAGAATAGCAGAGATTGTCCTTAGGATCAGGAAATGGAGCTCTCATAAATGTAATACTAAATAAGACAGACTTTGGAAAAAACCCAAGGTAGCCAAAAGTGGCAACTCTATGCTCTTACTATATACACCATGTTGCTTTTTTAGTCTATTGTGGCTACCATCCAGCCATTAACTGTAAAGCAGCAACATGCTCCTTGGTCCGATAATGCTGCTATTAACTGTCTGCTAACCATCCTGACTGAGAAAAGTGATACTTACAGAAGATTGTTTGAAGGTTATACAGTCCATCCACTTCTCTAAGTACTCTAAAGTCTTTCCTTGGATTAAATTGGGCCATGAGAAAGCTATATACTTGGACCATATTAGTTTAGCTCCTTGAAGAATTGCCTTCACTGAGTTGTATGTTAATGTAATGCCTTCAGCTTTTATTGAAGGGGACTACAAGAAACATCAATATGAAATTCATTACTGCCTTTATTGGCAAAATGCTGACATTACTTTCAACAGTACCCAACTTTCCCTAATATAAAACCTATATGATATCGGTTTATGTAATTCAGTGTAGGAAAATAGTTTCCATAAGAAAATTTATACTTCCATTTTTTGATTAAAAAAAAAAAAGATAGTAACTCCCCACCACCCCATGGTTTACTCTAGTAGCCAAGAAGTCCAGAATTTAAAGTTCTACTTCTCTAGCTATGGATTACGCTTAATGTCCTGGCCCAAATGGTGTACATACTTACATTCTATTTTCCTTCATCCTGATATCCTACTTCTACTTATATTTTATTTTATAATAATTTAAGCACATGCATTCTTTTGGTAAACTGCCTGAAATGCTTTTGGAACAAGGCTGGATGTTAAAAAAAATGCAAACAAATGAATAAAACACTTGAAATGTGATGTTTTCTATGAATTGCATGGTGTGAATCACAAAACAATGGCACATTTCATGTTAGTTTGGATATTACGTTGCTAAGTCTGTGTTTTAAGTAATTTAATATCTAGCGTGTTTCCATAGAATATGCTTTTTTTGGCCAGTATAGAACCACTGACTCAGATTTAGAAATGGAAATAATCTCAAGAGACTAAACTCATTTATTTTTAATTTAATTCAAATAAACTATGTGCTAACTGTTATGCCAGGTAATAGAGAAAATGATGAGTAAGACATAACTATTATCCTCTTAGATCATGTAACCTACTGTTGGAAACAAAAATGTTTGTAGTAAAAGTATAACTTAATAAGGTTACACAAAAGGAATTTGTATTGGGTACTTTAGAAACATATCAGGGGTGGCAATTATATTCATTTAGAAATATTAAGTAAAATCAGGTGGATATTAAAAACTAAGTAGGGGTTCATCAGTTAGGGAAGGAAAGAGGGGGCATTTTAGTAAGAGGGATCAGCACATTCTAATGTCACAGAGATGTGTAGGGGCATGGATATTTGGAGATGTTTGTAATGGCTCGAGGGAGAATATGAGCGTGCAATTTAGCTCTGTGTTCAATCCTGGATGCACCACTTATTAGATGTGATCCTGAGCAAGTAACTTTATGTTGATCAATCCTATAGTTTCTCATTACTATTTTTTAAAAAATATTTTATTTATTTATTTGACAGAGAGAGAGAGAGAGAGAGAGATCACAAGTAGGCAGAGCAGCAGGCAGAGAGAGGGGGGAAGCAGGCTCCCTGCTGAGCAGAGAGCCCGATGTGGGGCTCGATCCCAGGACCTTGGGATCATGACCTGAGCTGAAGGCAGAAGCTTAACCCACTGAGCCACCCAGGTGCCCCCTCATTACTATTTTTTAAAGATTTTATTTATTTTTATTTATTTGTCAGAGAGAGACTGTGCGGTCTCAAGCAGCAGGAGTGGCAGGCAGAGGGAGAAGCAGGCTCCCCGCTGAGCAAGGAGCCAGATGTTAGAATCAATCCCAGGACCCTGGGATCATGACCTGAGCTGAAGGCAGATGTTTAACCCACTGAGCCACCCAGGCATCCTTAATTTCTCATTTCTAACACAGAGATATCCCCAGCCACATAGTAGTAAGTGTACAGAAATTAACAGTAATATTTCCTTAATTCAACATATATATAAGTAAGCTTATGAGAAAGGTACATACTTGGGCCATATTAGCTGAACAGCTTGAAGAACTCATTAAAGAGTTCAGCAGTTAACATTAAGAATTCAACAATTTCTTAAAGAGCTGAAAAATGAAATGATCCGATACCCATTTTAGAAAGACGATCCTAGCTCTAATGTGGAGGATGGATTGGAGGGAAATATGACTAGGAACTGTGATAAATAAAAAGACTTAAAATAATGGGAGACAGTGAGGGCATAGAGACAGTAAAACAGGCACCATCTGATGGCAGGTTAGCTGGTAAGGGATACTTCCAAGTTGTTGGTATGTGAAATTCGGTTTTGCCATAGATTAAAAAATACATACATACATACATAAATACATACATGTAAGCAGGGAAAAGATAGAAAATCTATTTAGAAGGCTTTATTGTTTGTTCTTTCTTCAAAAAAAAAAAAAAGACACAAAGATTGGGATGTTGTATTCATGTAGAAATGCCTACGGAACAGGTTTGATATATGATCCTGGAAGTTAAAAGGAGGGTAAGGGGTGCAGTTGTAGATAATAACTGTGGAAGATGAGATAAAGGCATGAGCTGTAGATTTGATTTGGTTCTATTTCATTCATTCATCCCATATTTATTGAACAACTAATATTACAGGATACTGTGAAAAGGCCAAGGATAAATGATTTATTGAAATAAATGTGGTCATTTTTATAGTGATCAATGAAGGGGAGGAGACATAAATATGTAATTAAAAACTGTGATAAAGGAACTAATGCAAAAGGGCAGGGTACGATACGCACTTACAATTGGGTCATATCATTTAGGGGACGCAGGGTTCAGAAACTTCCTGAAGATGGACATTTGTGCTGAGGATGTATAAGGATTGTCTCTTTGGGGACAGTAAATGGGTAGACGGTGTGCTTCGAGTTGCAGATATCCCAACAGATATTGTCAGTAAGACACTTCAAGTAAGAATCACATAGTGATTAATAAAGATAAAAACAGCAATAAAATAAAGACAAATTACTGTCTTTGGGGATAAACAAGGGCAGATGCTAGGGAAATTGGATCTTCTCTGAACTCGGGCAGAGACTCTCAGAATAGAATGAATAGAGGCAGCTGCTAGGATTTGAGGGCAAGAGGTTGATATTCTGAGGCTTGTTTCAAAGACGGAAAGAGAAAATGCTGTTGACTTTGGCCCGTATGGGGTTCTGAAACACAGCAGTATTCACTGGGCCCAAGGGGATCCCTTGAGAAAAATGAAAAGTTATTAGCAGATCTGAATATGTGGACTTTATTGGTGTTCTTCAGTTAACAGGAAAATAAATGAAAAGGAAATCAGATTATAGTGGTCTGAGAATTAAATTGAAAACGAGAACACAGACATTGTAAGAAATGCTTTCAAAAAGCCTGAATGGAGAAAAAGGATAGAATCTGAATGTGGGGGGATGGGTCACACAGGATCTGGAGAGAGTTTTGGTTTCGCTTCCTGGTAAGTTAAGCATATTAAGCATACTCCTTAACTGAAAGGAAGGAGGCGTTCAAAAAGGAGAAGATGGCTTTGAAGAAAGGAGAAGAAAATACTGATGGTTCAAGCCTGAGAAAAGAAGAAGAAAGAAAGAGATTAAGAGCTGGAGTGGACAAATTAGTCTTGGCCATGTGGAAGAACACTGGGTATCAGGGAAGGTTCCAGAAGAACTGGGGAATTTCACAAGATGATACTTTTATAAATGCAAGGGCACAAAAACTGGACTTGGATCATTTGATCCAGCACCACATTTTTAGGGTGATAAGGTTTTGTTATCTAGTTTCACACCTGAGGCTAAAAGTGGTATAACATCTTGTCCAAGATCACAGAGCAGGGTAGGCTGTGTCTTTTAACAAGAGGGCTCAAATGCGGCTTGAATATAGATTGAGTGGATTTATGTATTGGCATAAACTAACTTTAATGATCATCAGAGCACAATCTACACAAAAATTTTATGTTAAATACATCTATCTTTTTTCAAACATATATTAGTGATATGTGTCTTTGAGATATTATTCTTATGAGGCAATGTAATATTTGCTAGTTTACGAGTGTTTAAGGACTTATCATTTGCTCTTTGGATTGATGAATAATTTAACTGCATTTGCTTACGATACCAACTTCAAAAGCAGAGGGCTTCTACTTGTCTGATAAAACTGGAAGGATGCCGATATGGGCAGTGGATAAAAACTCTGTAATTCAAGAAAATTACCATATTTCTACTTAAAAATTAAATCTAAGGAAAACTAAAGCAGAGGTAGCTGAAAGTAGACTATACTGTAATCTTTTTTTAGGCAGATATGCTAGTTTGGGGCACTCTACTTCATCTCCTTTCATTTTTAAGGACCTGGATATTTCTAAGCTAAGTTTAGGAAGCACCTCCCAAAATTCATTTGAATCAAGAAATTGGGTTGAGTACTCACTGATAAATTCACCATTGTCAAGTTCTAAAATCCTTTCCATAAAGGCAAAGAAGTCTCACTGGTGTTGCATTGCCAGACTTAATAAGGAAACTCATTTATTCTTTTATTCAACAAAAAACTCTGAAGTGCCTAGCAAGTACCTGTCATTGTGTTTGGCCCTTTTAGCTACGGGAAAGTGATTAAGAACACGCAACAGGTTGGATGTAATATTCCCTTTAACTTAACCATGACCTTGAACCACTTAGAACTGAAATAATATAGAATTTATTAGTTATTTTCCTGCAGATTAGGTTGGAACATCAATGATTTTGTCCTAGATTTGTCTTTACTCTGTGTGATTTGGTATGTGGTTTGATTTAAATCCAATATTCATTAGTACCAAGTTATTTCTTTTAGAATGCATTATCAGGAATGTATTTTTTGGATTTATAAGTACCTCTATTTTTCAAGTTCAGGGAGAAGGTATTTTATTTGATATGCCAAATCACAATGTCAATTTGACTGGCACCCTCAGAGCATTAAAAAGTGACATATCAATAAATATCTATTCTGAGCATTTATACCACAAACCACTATTTTTCTTATGTGACAAATTTATAAATATGTCTGGCATTTAGAAATATAACTAGCATTTAATCTTCAAAAAAGTTAGTATGAAAGTGCATGTTTAACTAATATAACTAAAAAGAAATAACTGCATAGACAGCAATGAAAAAGCATTACATTATATGGAAAATGAAAACATAAATCAACAATAAAATGTAATGGAAATTCTGAAATAGCCTTGAAGTTAAGCATAGAAAATTAATCAGATTCCCTTTAACATTCATTCAGTGGCTGTTAGTATGCAAAACATCACTTATAAAATGAAATAAACCAGCACTTATTAAAACTGACAGTTTATAAAATTTAAAAAAAAAGAGTGAGACTTTTAAATGATAACATCAACCATTTTTATGCTTAAACTGAAATATGGTCTTAGAAATAAGAAAAAATATTTAAATAACTGATAAAGAAGTAAGATCATCAAGTATGTTATTCCAAATTTAATGGAAGAAGTATTTTAATAGATATATTATTAAAAAGAAGCCCTCCAAGTAGAACTGAACTATTAAGAAAACTTTATGTATCTCATTGTGATATATCCAGAGCTTCCTCTTAATGCAGATGAATAATAAACTATAAAATAAATGGAACAGCTATTATATTAATGGTCAAAACTCCCACTAGCTTCAGTACTTGCAATCTAAAAATGGACACCAATAATTCCCAAAGAAATTAATCTTCAAAACAAATAACTCTCATAGACTACGTGAGCAACTTAAAATTTCTAGGCATTTCACAACTAGTTATACTTATTCCATATAACATGCTAGGAGAATAATGTTGATTGAAATTTTATATCCAAGCAACAGAGACGGGGGATAGGTGAAGAGTAACTCAACCCACTGATAGGGTCTGAAATTCTATAACAGGTAAAGTTAATGCCAAAGCAGTATGGTATTTAAGAGTACTAATTAAATGGTCAAATAGATCTGCATTTAAGTATACTTATTAACCAGTTGTGTGAACTTGGGCAAGTAAATAACTTCACCAAGTCTCAGCTTCTTCATTAGAAAACTGAGAGTTAAAAAGAGACCTTAATCATAAAATTTAAAGATTACATGATAGAGCATATGCCAAAAACTTAGCCCAGTGCCTTACACACAGTCAGAGCTCAACAGATGCTGGGGAGTTTGAACAGAAGTAATACACAAGCACTCCTAAAGAATTTCAGGCAAGAGCATACTTTAAAAGAAATCTGTATGATTTATATATATCTATATCTATGACATAGATATAAAGATACAGATAATTTACATTCACATGTTCTTCATGTCCGTTTTTAGGAACATATCTGTTACAAGCTAAATCTGGTAGGAGATTCTCTTAATCGTGGTGAGAAGGAAGTTCTCACTTACCTTGTCATTTACTACACTCTTCCCATCCCAAGCCCATCCTCTTTTGGTGAAGTAGTTAACAGTTGCAAATTCAATTAGGGCAGAGAACACAAATGCATAACAAACAGCGATAAACCAGTCCATGGCAGTTGCATAGGCCACTTTGGGGAGGGAATTCCGAGCACTGATGCTTAGAGTTGTCATTGTTAGAACAGTTGTTACTCCTGCGGAAAGATAGGAACAAAAACAGGAATGGATACTAGCAAGCAAAAAAGAATTGAAAGTATTCTTTTTCTCAAAGTTACTTTTGCTGCCAGTTCTATCCACTAAACAAACAAACAAACAAACAACAACAACAAAAGCTGGCAGAACAGTGCAAAGTTAATTATCACAAATGGCTATTTTAATTCTTGAAGTAGTAACTCTGAAATGTCTTGTTTTCATTTTTGTTTGTATGACTCTCCTTTTTCTCTTTTTTAGTATTGTTAAGGTTAAAAATACGGCTGATTTTGAAAGTAGGATTTCCTATGAGGAAAGCAGTTACTTTAAATTGTGCCATTGCGCATTAATACTATTTTTTAAAAAAATCTTACCCAAAACCTCACGTGAATTTGTTCATCATTTATTTAAATCATGCTCAGCAATGGACCAATCATCCACACCAGTGATCACAATGGAACTATGATTAAGAAGTTCTTTATTCCAAGTATAGCTACCTAAATATGAAATTAATTCTGGATCACTTAGCATTGTGAGGACATAATTTCTTTCATAATGAAGCTTAGAATCTATAGAAAATAAAACAAGCAACTAAACTTCAAACTTTATAAAAATGCAAATCACTACTTTTAGGGAATATTTTATGCCTCTGTTGGTTTAAAAAGTAATTTAGTCCCTTTCATTGTAAAGCTTTTCTGCCAGTAGTCAGGGAAGTCGCAATAATTAAGTAAAAAGAAAGCAATAACTCAGGAGGTAAGTTGCAATATCAGCTGTCAAAATGTCTGCAATTACCTGTTTTATCAGAGATACAATAGAAGTTTAATCATGTACATAGGGGTTACATTAAATTAAAAGAGTTAAAATGTTAAAGAAATGTTCATTCATATATTAAAGTTTTATTGTATTGTATTTTTTGCTTTCCCTTAGGATAAATAAAGCAGCTTTTTCTTCTCATCTACAATAGTAATTCAAAACAGCAAATAATTCTATTTAATCATGAGTGAATGCATATAGGAATATGATGGTAGTAGTAGCAATAAAAGACAGAAAAATAAACTAAGCTCACCTGCTGCTAAGTCAATATTAAAAAAACACATCTACAAAACACATTGCCTTTTCATGCATCAAAGTGAAAGGTTTTAGATTGTGAGGATGTTTTCTTTTGAGAATTCGGTACAGTAGAATAATTAAATAGAAGACATGATAGATACAACCACATACACCCACAACTGAAATCATATCCTCCTTCAACCCCTATATGAGTGCCCACGCGCTCACACACACACACACACACACACACACCCATAATAAAGAATGCAAATGACAAATCAATATATGGAAATACACCTAACTTCACTAGCAGTTAAGGAAATACAAACAAAGAGATAATGACATACCTTTCTAAAACCATATAGTCAGCAAAATGTTAGCAAACTTTAAAAGATTTATACTATGGTAGTATTGAGGAGAATGTGGGATAACAGACATCCTGTCTGAATAGGGATTACAGATTGATGTCATATCTAAGACTGTTACTTAATCCAAAGTCATAAAGATGTAAGCCTACATTTTCTTCTATGAGTTTTATACTTTTAGTTCTGACATTTAGGTCTTGGTCCATTTTGGAGTAATTTTTATGTAAGGTGTGAGGTAGATGTCCAAATTCATTCTTTCACATGTGGATAACCAGTTGTATCAGTGTTATTTGTTGAAAAGACTTTTCCTTCCCTATTGAATGGCATTAGGATTGTTGTTGAAATCAACAGACCACACCACATTGACTTCTTATTACATATGTCTCCTGAGGCAAGGGAAACCAAATCAAAAATAAACTATTGGGACTTCATCAAAATAAAAACTTCTCCACAGTGAAGGAAACAATGAACAAAACTAAAAGGCAACCTATGAAGTGGGATAAATTATTTGCAAACAACATATCTGATAAAGAGTCAATATCCAAAAATATATAAAGAACTTATCAACTCAATAACCCAAAAATGAATAATACAATTAAAAAATGGGCAGAAGACACAGATATTTTTCCAATAAGACAAAAAGATGGCAACCAGACACACAAAAAGATGCTCAACATCACTGATCATCAAGGAAATACAAATCAAAACTATAATGAGATATCACCTCACACCTGTCAAAATGGCTAAAATCAACAACATAGGAAATTATCAGGTATTGACAAGGATGTGGAGGAGGAGGAACCCTCTCACACTGTTGTTGGGAATGCAAACTGGTGCAACCACTATGAAAAACAGTATGGAGATTCCTCAAAAAGTTAAAAATAGAACTACCCTTTGATCCAGGAATTGCACTACTAGGTATTAACCCAAAGAATAAAAAAACACTAATTCAAAGGGATACATACACACTGATGTATACAGCAGCAATATCTATAATAGCCAAATTATAGAAACAGCTCAAGTGTCCACCAACTGATGGATGTATAGGAAAGAAGTGGTACACACACACACACACACACACACACACACAGAAATATTATTCAGCAATAAAAAATAATGAAGTCTTACCATTTGCAACAAAAAGGTGGAGATATAGAGCATTATTATGTTAAATGAAATGAATCAGTCAGAGAAAAAGAAATACCATGGGATTTCACTCATATGTGGAATTTAAGAAAGAAAACTAGCTTAGGGGAAAAAAAGAGAGAAGCAAACCAAGAAACATACTCTTACTATTGCACTACTGCGTATTTACCCCAAAGATACAGATGTAGTGAAAAGAAGGGCCAACTGCACCCAATGTTCATAGCAGCATTGGCCACAGTCACCAAACTGTGGAAAGAACCAAGATGCCCTTCAACTGACAAATGGATAAGGAAGATGTGGTCCATATATACTACGGAGTATTATGCCTCCATCAGAAAGGATGAATACCCAACTTTTTGTATCAACATGGACAGGACTGGAAGGTATTATGCTGAGTGAAATAAGTCAAGCAGAGAGAGTCAATTATCATATGGTTTTGCTTATTTGTGAAGCATAAGGAATGACATAGAGGACATGGGGAGATGGAGAGGAGAAGGGAGTTGGGAGAAATTGGAGGGGGAGATGAACCATGAGAGACTGTGGACTGTGAAAAACAATCTGAGGGTTTTGGAAGGGTGGGGGGTGGGAGGTTGGGTGAGCTGGTGGTGGGTATTATGAAGGGCACATATTGCATGGAGCACTGGGTGTGGTGCATAAACGAATTCTGGAACACTGAAAAGAAATTTTAAAAATACATAAAAATAAAAAAAAAATTCTCCAGGGTAAGCCTAGGGCATAAAAAAAATAAAAAACTATGACTCTCGAAAGAAAGAAAGAAAGAAAGAAAGAAAGAGAAAGAAAGAAAGAAAGAAAGAAAGACAGACCATAGATATATGGGCTTGTTTCTGCACTTTGAATTCTATTCCATTACTCCGTACATTGATCCTTATTCAAGTTTCAAACTTTCAATGATTGTAGCTTTAGAGTAAGTGTTGAAATTGGGAAGCTTGAATCCTCCAAATTTCTTAGTCTTTTTCAAGACTGTTTTGGTTATTCAGGGTCCCTTGTATTTACATGTGGTTTTATAATAAACTTGCTAATTGCTGCAAAAAAGATTGCTGGAATTTTGATATGCACTGCATTTAAGCTACTGTTTTGGGCAGGATTGCCATCTTAACTATATTAGGTCTTCCAATTCCTGAAAATAGAATACCTATGTAGCCTTTATAATTATATACATAAATATAAATATATATACAAATATATGTAGTATATATACATATATGCACAACATATATACATATATATGTACATATATATTATATATATGTAATCTATTTAGAGCTTCTTTTATATCTTTTAGCAACATTTTATAATTTTCAATGTATAAGTATACAAACCTTTCACCTGTAAATTTAGATTTATTTATAGGTATTTAATGTGGATGTTAATGTAAATGGAAATATAGTCTTAATTTTCTTTTCAGATTGTTCAATGCTAGTGTAGAGAACTACAACTGATTTTTTGTGCTGGCCTTGTACCCTGCAACTTTGCTGAATGTATTAGCTCTAATAGCTTTTATGTGGTTTACTAGGAGATTTATATATATAAAATCATGTCATCTATAAATAGAGTTTTACTTGTTCCTTTCCAAACTGAATGCCTTTTATTTGTTTTTCTTGCCTAACTGCACTGGCTAGAACAGGCAATATGAGGTTGAGTAGAACTGATGAAGGCAAACATCCCTATCTTGTTCCTGATGTCAGCATAGCAGCTTTTAATCTTCACCTGTAAGTATGATGTTAGCTGTTTTTCTTCCATCCACGTGTATCAGGTTGAGAAAGTTCTTTTCTCATGACAATTTGTTGGTTTTTTTTAATCATGAAAGCATACTGTGTTTTGGTTTTTAGGGTTTTGAGATGATTGTGTGTTTTTTCATACCCCATAAATTCGTTGTTTACATTGATTGATTTTTGTATGTTGAACCAAACTTTCATTCCTAGGATAAATCCTATTTGGTCATCATACATAATCCTTTTTATATGTGGCTGGTTTTAGTTTGCTAGTATTTTGTTGAAGACATTCTGTATATCTAAGGAATATTGATATGTAGAGTTGGTTTTTGCTGTTGCTTTGTTTTGTTTTTACTTGTTATTTCTTTGTCTGTTTTTGGTTTTCTTGGTAAATGATGCTACAGAATGAGTCAAGAAGGTCCCTCATTTATATTTTCAGAGTTTGAGAAAGAATGGCATTAATTCTTTTTTCAATGTTTTGGTAAAATTCACCAGCAAGACAATCTGGCCTTGGACTTCTATTGATTTTTTATTGTTGCTCATTTCACAGCTTTACTTGCTATAGATTTGCTCAATCAATTTTTGATAATTTGTTTTTTCTAGGAATTCGTCCATTCTAGGTTATTTCATTTGCGGGGTAAACAATTGTTCACAGATTCCCTTAGAATCTCTTTTATTTCCATAAGGTCAGTAGTAATGTTCCTTCTTCCT